AAATGGAAACATAATTTACCCACCCTCCCTTTTTTTAAATAGTTGACAGTAGCCATTGACTGAATACCATAGTTTTTTCTTAATATGGCTATTGTCATCTGTTTGGTTGGCAGTGTTGACAGATGACAAATGATGACAGAATTTTTTATTTTAAGTGAACTATCCTTTTAAATCTTCTTGCAGTCCCCTTAGAAGTGGGCTCCTGCACCCTAGTTGAGAAATCCTGGTCTAGTGGAAAGATCTGAATAGATAAAACTTTTAAGAGAGCTTCTCACAGGCATTCTGGATCTACCATTACTACAAGAGAAAACAGATGTCTAATCGCAAGGCAGTGAAATAACAATACACAATCCTGACACCAAGTGGGACAGAAGAGCATAACAGAAACTCTGCACCTGATATGTTCAAAAAGGCCCATATCCCCCAAGACCACAAAATTAGCAGGAACTGGACAATTACACAAGGCCTTGAGCACTCCAGTAACTACTATTCAAAAGAAAATATCTACCTAGCAAACTTGCTTTAAGTGCAAGAAGGCAGTTAATTTAGGGAATTATCTAGCAGAAAGAACTTGGACAAAGTTAGGTTAAGACAGCCTGCTACAAAACTATTATAAATCGTAGTGAGTATCCAAGTTATATCCTGCTAGGCAACATCAATGGACCATGAACTGACTTAAAAGCAATAACTTAAAAATAAAAAAGATGAGTGGAAGAGCTTTTGATCCACACTACAGTTGGAATATAATGTATACATTATTACTGAGCATATTTAAAATAAAGGTTACTTTAAAGAAATCTTTTGAGCGTTTTTATGTTTTAAGTGTCTGATAACAGGAACTAATAATACTATTGTATTATTCATGTTTTTTTCCCACAAGGGTAACTAATTATACAACAACAAAACAATTTTATATTATTGGATTTGGTTATAAATAAATATAAGGGTGTAGTACATTATTTATAAATAAGCGTTTATGCTCCTGGTAACCTGACGATAAGTGGCTTATTATGATGAACCTTTTAAAATTTTATTTTTTTAACTCCATTTAATATTTAGTAACACTTTATTTTACAATGTCCTTTTTACATATTGCATGTACCTACTTTAGCAATAACAGTCAATTACATGCAACGAGCCCTAAAACAAACCCAAATCCAACCCTACAGTAAGTACACGCTGTCAATGTTGTGCTCAGTAATTCAATGTATAATTACACTGTAACAAAGACACCCCAAAATAAAGTGTGACCAAATATTTGAAGAGCTCAAAACATACCACAAATCACACCAATAACCACACAAACACCATGTTTCCATAAACACTTTATAATAGGATTTGGATCTAACAGGTAAACACAGTTCGCTCAATGACATGACAAATACTTTCCATTCTATAAAGAAAACTGTAAAAATATTCAATCATAACTAATTAAAAGATCTCTGGGGGTAAGAGAGGGTGAATGATGGGCAGTCGTATTGTGGTCCTGACGTGGCGATGATGATGATCTTGGGGGCAGGAAGAGGGAGGAGCAGCAGCAGCAGAGGCGGGGCTTCACCGTGATGATGACGTGGTGTTGCCATTCAGAGCAAACCTGATACAAAAGATTTATTGATTATTTTAATCTAAATATTACATTCAAATGCACTTAAGGCCGGGACACACCAAGCCGACGGTCTAGTTTGTTTGGTGTGTTCCACTCGTCGGCGGCAGTTTGCCCGATTCAACATGTTGAATCGGCGTCGGGGCCGTCGGCACGAGTGAGAGCTCTGATTGGATGTTCAGTTTAGCGAACGAGTCAGTGCCCGAGAATTAAAGCGAAAGTGATGAAAACAAGAATGTAAATGAAGGCGGTAAAGACAGAAGGCTGTTTAAATGTTACGTGATCTTTCCCAATCATTCTAATACGCGAATGTTTTCATAACATGAGCCGCTTAAAATGATTAAAGTTATCAACGTTACTGATATTCAAAATGGTAAGCAAGTGCTGCTTTGTTTACGTTTCGTATATCTGCGTTTATCTCGTAGATCTTTGTTTCGGTTTCTCCTTTTGAATGACAAATATATACTATTGATAGCTACTGATATAGTACTGATATAGACTGATATAGTTCATTCCTCTCACGCATGCGCAGAACGCACGTGTTAGTTTGCCGTCGGCTGTAGTCTGTGCGGTGTTCGAGCGCAGCTTTTTGGTCCGACGCTGCCGACGTGAGGCAACAACACCATCGGCTTTCGTCGCCGCTAGTTCTTTGAAGTCGGCTTGGTGTGTCCCGGCCTTTAGTGGTATACTATATATACCACAGTACTTTCTTTTTTTTCATAAAAACCCACTCACCTGCACACTCTCTCCATCATGTGTGTGACCAGGAGGTCAGAGATGCCAGGGCAGGACTCTTCTGCCAGGTTGAAGGCATTCTCCAGCTCCTCTATGGCACCCATTCCTCCTCCACATGCCCTCCTCTTCTCCTTCAGC